TTTTTTTGTTTGTAATTTAAATTTACAAGTGAACTTTTATGTTATAATATTTCATGCACGACCCGTGCCTGGTACGACCTGTTATATGATAATAATATTCACTCGGTTAACGAGCATAATGCTCTCGATGTCGTGGCGAATAGTGGAACCATATAAAGTGGAGCAATTGTTAATTAAAATACGCGAGGCTGGTGTGCCTACGCACACCTACCCCTTGCCGACCAATTTAGAGGTGAAATTTTCGAATGTGTCCACACGCTCGAACTTCACAAACGCTCAATTTAGTGGCCACGTAACGTTCATCGAAGTTAATTATAGGTTTGGCACGTTCGTCGAACTTAATCCCGTTCTCTCGACCGTCTGACTTTGTTTTTTCGTCCATTTTTCAATCTATCCGGATGACGTCAATCAGAAATACTAAAGGGAATCATTTTTTCTTCGCAGTGGAGGCTCATTACACGGCAGCCCTGCAAGAGGAGAGGCGCGGATACGAGGCGAGGCTACGCGATTCCTTGAACGAGGCGGCGAAAGAGCATCGGGCCTCGATTGCAAAATTGCGAGCCGAGCAGGAGGCTGAATTGCTACGAAGAGAAGCGGAATTGAAGAGGAGATCGGTTGTACACGATCAAGGAGCCGCGCTCACAGCGGAAGTGGAGTCTCTGAGATCGGTGCTGGAGATCAGGAGCCAAGAGAACGCCGCGTTGAGATCGGATCTCGATAATATTAGGCGAGAAATCGAGGACAAAGAGGCTTTGCAGCAACGAGTGGACACGCTCGAGGCGAGATGCGAGGACCTAAAGGCGCAGCTTCAGTGCAAAGAGGCACTCGAGAGGCAGATGGCCCACAACAACGAGGTTCTGCACGAGTCCTTCCACCAGATCTCCAAACAGAACAAACGGTTGGCGCAACGTAACGAGGAGCTTCAATGGAGGTTGCGTCAAAAAAACGAGGTAGTGACCGTTCTTGCGAATTTGACGCCTAGAATTTCGCGCTCGTTAGGCCCGGAACACGTCGAGCACTCTCTTTCACCCGACAAGAACGGTCCGCAATCATCCTCGGTTAAGTTCATGGTGGAGAAAGGCGATTCGGTCTCGTGGACGTTGGAGATCGACGACGAGTACTCCAAGGGAGCGTCGGACGCCGTGCCGTTGGCGACCCCACCAAAAATGGGCAGATCCGAGACCTCGACCACAGTGTCCAGGCAAGGATCGCTCAGATTGACGCCTAGAAGGCCTTCCGTGGATATGAGGGCAAGGTCTAAAAGTATTTCCGTTACGGATTCCGCGCGCGTCGAGGAATCCACTTGGAATCCTTCGTTCAATTCTACGCCGATTCCTCGACGAAGACCCAGAAGCGACCCGTCTTCTTCCTCTTCCTCCTCTTCTTCGTCCTCCTCTTCTTCAGCAACGGCGGTGACCACGAATTCGGCTGTGGCCGTTGCTGT